TCGACGACGCTATTTTTCTTTCTATTTTCTTCAATCTACCCTCCTCTCGCCGCCCCGTTTACCCCGTTAGGGACAATACGTCATATCATATGAAAACGCACTTATGCACGAGGCGGAGAGGAAAATGAACATATAATATATGGTAATCCACGGTACACGATTCAATTTCTTTTAAATTTTCTCCAATTAATTTGCAATTATAGTTATTATTGAATATCATTCGTCTATTACAAATGAATACTGGGATGATAACATAATACGAACGAGAGATTTGGGATGCAAATAAATCTAAAAATATCTAATAATATTGTGTTTGACATAGCATTATGCTTTTGTAATCATTGATCATATTCGGCTGATTATTTCATTTTTTTCGAATTGATAAAATAAAATTACTAAACTAATTCCGTTAAAAAATTGAAATTTTCAACAAACTTTTTAAATTGAAAAACATTAACTATGCATTATAATATCCCCTCGTCTTATTGGTAAAAGTAAGTATATTACGATATTTATTATATACGAAAAATAAAGTATAATGAATAATTTTATTCAAACTAATTCTAATTTCCATATAAATTATGAAATAATTTAAACACTGGATATCATATTTCAAATTTTTAAATTATATTCATTGATATCGGGATTAAAAATAACAAAAAAAATACTTTATACTGTTTTACTCATTCTACAAATTATAAAAACGTGAAATCATTTTTAAATCAATTTTATTATAACAATTAATATAGAAAATATTATATAAATAATTTAAAGTAATGAAAATTATCACAATTATGGTAATATTTGCAGCTATCTTATACAATAAGTTAGATATTGCAAATTTAGTATAGAATCAGAAAATATTCCCATTAGAAAAATAATTACATACCCGTAAACACAAATTTCATGCCATTAATTTACTTCTTGTTAGCAAATTAATTTTTCAACTTTCAATTAATATTTAGTTTTATAATATGCTATATTATGTATAAAGTTTAAACGAATTATAAAATATTTTCGTTCATTTAATTTCATGTCTCTGTCGTACCATTTAGCGACATGTGCCATTCAGCTATATAATGTTAAATTTAAAAAAAATCTATGGCATAGAGCAAAAACAACTGTCACGGAAAAAATGAATAAAAAAATTATGTAAATACTAATTTATCGATTTAAAACGACAATGGCATAAAATAATGAAATTTAATTGGAATTATCTTATCGACCACGGAGTTGCACATTAGACCTTATTAACTTATAAGGCTTTTATTCATCTACAATATGTAGATTCATGAGAATGAATCCGACAACATTAAAAAAAGTTTCGTAAAAATTAAAAGCTGCACGACGACAAATATCTAGCTCTGCAGATTTTGCAGATTCTCAATGTTTGCAGCAAAAGAGACACAAGCTTTGAATACTTAGACTTCACATAGCTATGAGTTGATTTTTCGAGAAAAGATTTTGGAAACTTTTTTAATTATTTACAAAAAATAGAGAAGCGATAAACTATTTATTTATTACGTAAGAGGACTCCAGCAGAAAGCTGAAGCAAGCTTGAAGTATGTTATCGATAATTTCAAAAAGTTTTTTCATTTATAAAGAAATTTGAAATATTTTCAGAAATCTGATAACTAACTGCGACTCTTACCAATAGCTTAATAAATATTTTTATAATTATATAAATCTTCGAAGTAATGAAGATCTTCGTTTTCTGATACTAAGAAATACTTAGTTTTCAAAAGTATCGATATTAATCGATTAAAAATAAAAAATGATATAATTATTATAAAATTACCTTGTGCTGTTCAATTATTGTGTAATTAGAATTAATAATAAGAAATGATAATGAATATAAAAAATAATATAGAATGAACTTCTGTTTGGTTTACGTACAAAACATATATAAAATTTCTAATCACCAATGATATACGTAATTGAAAGTATAATAAAAAAACATTCTTAAATGAAATTTAAATAAAGCAGCATTGCATAAAAATAATTTCATAGAGTTAATAAGGAATGGAAGTTGAAATAAGGAATACCAATTCAATTATAGTATATTAAAGAAACTTCCTTGATCAAATAATTTAAATAAAATATATTTGAATACAAAAATTTAATTCAGTCTATATATATTAATAATAATTACTTTAATGTCTAATATATCACTTCGAAGATTTTATTAAATGTATTCATTTCAGAAAGGTAGCAGAAAATTTCATATAATATGTATAAATGTTATTTTTATTTCTTATTCTCAGGAGTAGAGACGGACACATTTATATTAATTTCATGACAGTTTTTCATATGAAGAAATATCTGCAGTTATAAAAAAAAACAGTTTATATTGAATTATATTTGAAGATAAAATAATGGAAATATTGTATTTAAAAGAAAGTTATGATTGATAAGTTATGTTAATTTTGATATTATATAGAGAAATTTTATATGTACATTATGTTTACGTATTACGATAGCAAAAGAAAAATATGTCAATGGTGTCAGGAACAAATTTTGAAACTATCTATGTTTACGGAAATTGTTGTTTTTTTTTTTTCATTTGAATTAATATGAAAATTTAGCTTGATTATTGAGTAAAATAATTCATTTATTCGTTAATAATTATTAAATTAATTTATCATTACGTTATTTTTTAATCTCTTAAAATCTCTCATAATTAAATCTATCAAAAGTTGCCATAATTGTAATAAAAAATCTAAACTTGAATTACATGATGATACATTTGTATTATTATGCAAATTAGATGTAATCAATATCATTCGATTGAAAAAGTGTTTATAAAATTAATTAAATAATATCAATTTGCATATATAATATATCTAATGTGTAAAAGGACTATTTATTAACTTATTTTAGTAGTAAATTGTCAACGTTACAAATAAGACGCCATGGTCTGCAAATTTAGAAAATTAATATATTAATTTTCATAAGCAATATATAAGTAAATGTTTCAAATTAATTTAGAATTATCTTTAATGTATCTATAGAAACATATTTCATTTACTATAAATCTTTAAATTAAATAATTACATAAATTATTTGAAGATCTAATAATGTGAAGTATGAAATACAATGAATTTATATGGAGCAATAATAGGAATTTATTCATAAATATATTAATATATTTTCTATATATTTTCTATTGAATTGACAATTCAATAGAAGATTTATCTAAAAGAAAACATGTATCAACTATGGACATTATAGATCACTAAGTATATTAGTGATAGAAAAATAGTTCAAATATAATAAACGATCTATTTATATTATTAGACTCCACTTTCGTTTCTCGATTCGTCAGTTTCAGTCCTTTTAATGTAACGAATTCAAAATTAACTAATTTTAATCAATTATCGATTTTTTTTTTTTTTTTTTTAAACAAATTCAAAAAGACTTAGTCTTTTTATCGATAATATTTTTAATTTATCTTGGTTGCTACTCCACTCTAAAAATTCTTTAATAGTTTAAAACTTCAGTAGAGCCTAAATCACAGTCTCCGCTAATTGAATCGATTAATAATTACATGATGGTCGTTCCAACTAGTCCTTTCTTATATTTGCCTATACATTTTGCGAGTTCTAATCACGATATTCCCATGGGGAATAGAATGTTTGATAATGTCAATGTACCATATTACAATCTTCATAAAATGTAACACTGTCTTTTACAAAATTCTCACCCATTTGCAATTTTATTTTTCAACTTACATTTACCATTGGTTAAACATAATTTGAATTGAATAACAAACAAACTCCAATGTTCACGTACATGTGCATATAAAGATATCATACTCGTTAAGTTTCGCATTACAATTTCATCAATAGATACGATTTTCCCGAAAAAAAAATTGATAATTTCAAAATCTCAAACCTTGTCGTCATCGTAGTCCAGATCTTTCGAGGGAAGAAGGAGAGAGAAAGTAAGGTACACGTGCCGCACGAAAGCCTGACTTGCGCAGAAAGCTTCGGTCCCTACTTTTCAAGCCGAACGTATCTCAAGTAGTGAAAGCACACCATCAGTAATCCGACACCCGTCCTCCAACGCGTCGAAATTGTTTCTCGCGCACCGACTCTGACATGCGGACATTAATAACTCACCTGACTATAACGCGATTGTCATTTCGGTCACCAAATTTCATTCATTACTCGCTCAAGTGATAAGATATTGTTTAAATAATAGGTCATAGATTATATCGTCGAACGTTGCTACGATTTGCAACAAATCAACGTTTGGTTTAAGAACAAAAAATATATATTATAGAGAGAGAGAGAGAGAGAGAGAGAGAACAATGTTTTAAATTAACGTAAGTAATCGCAGCTGAGATTTACCGACACAATAAGTCTTGATGAGTGACATTTTATTTGTAACTTAATAGTAAACTGATCATTTGAGTAAACTTTACAATTGGACGATTAGAAAATTAGATAAAGAATATTATGAAACTTCATTACTATTTAATGATCCTGATTGATATAAAATTTTCGTAAAATAATAATAATTCTGAATTTGAATACAACATAAAATTATTGTCCTAAAACGTTTGATTATTATTATTTTAATTAATGGAATCGCAAATTAAAATTATTTAGTATGGAACTTTAATTTTTTTTCTATCTTATGACTTACATAATTTATATTTCTACTAGACATTAAACTCATTTAACGCACAAGTTATTCATCAAGTATTGCTCAGTCTTTTTTAAGTCGCTACATTTGTAGATTTAAAAGCTCAAGGCAATGCAATTATATATATATATATATATATATATATATATATATATATATATCAATTGAAAGGCACGTAGAATTTTATAGTAATAAAAAAATTTTATCATGTACTGAAACTAAATATTATTAACATGAATAACGGAGTAATGTTTCAATAAAAACCTATAGAAGAAAAGGCATTTAACATGAGCACTACCATTGAATCAATAACGATTCGAATAATAAAATGAATATGACCGTCCGAAAAATATCAGTTCATTGACTAATACCTAACGTATATGCAATCAACAACTATTGCATGAAGGACTAGATAATCTACAGCTTTGCACGTTAATTCAATGTATAACGAACAAGCCTAGTGTGTCGTCGTTAACGATTATTTACAAAATTTCCTATAATCTCTTGTTAACTGAGCTAACAGAGCAACTCAATTTTAAGTTCTCTGCTCGACAGAAACGGAATAATTACGGGATTTGCTTCAGAATTTTCACAATTTTCCGGAAATCAGTCTTATTATTCCCATGATCGAGCATTTTTTTCGCATCCCATAGACAGTAATTAGATCCTTTACCGTCTATGTCCTCATCATGCAGCTAATATCGCAGGATTCGAGCGATATACCCGAGCAATATTTGCCAACGATAATCCGCCACCTTAATGGCTTCCGAAATGATACTCTTGACTTCTCTAAACCATATTTAAACCCGTACTTCGCTAACATATATCCGTTACCAGTAATAATTTACTCCATACTCATTATATTAAGTACCTTGGCCAACTTTGCAATGATTTACCATATATTCAAATACGACGTGCATAAGGAGCCAACCTGCGCCTACTTAGTGAATATCGCAATAGCCAACGTCATACACGTAGTTCTTGCACTCCCTATCACCCTGGCTGTTTTGTTAATGCACAATTGGATCTTCGGCAAATTTATTTGCTACTGCCTGCCGATGCTTCAGGTTAGTACCAACCATCGCCTCAATTATTCAATATATTAATCGAAGCGGCAGCATTTTTGTGTAGCAATTTTTAACTGTTATTATTTCATTAACATATTTTGTTTTTCATTTTGTAAAGTCTGATTTAATGTACTTTTTTTTCTTTTTTTTTTGTATATATTAGAATGCATTTTAATTAGATGTCTATAATTGCAATCAAATGATGTATGGAAAATATTTTCAATTGTAAAGCGCTACTGCATGATTGACGTTATTCTTAATTTAACCAATAACTGTCCACTATTTTACCAAAAGTATATCTCTTAAATTGAAAATACACCGATATGCGATTAATTTTACTTTCACTTGTTTTTTATTGCAATAGAAAATTAATTAGCAAAGAAGAACACTATGGGTTTAAATGGGATTATTGCCTATACATTGCGAAAATATATATTATTACTACTTTATTATCGGTCAGAATAATTTCTATAAAAATAACAATTTATTATTATATATTAATACCACTGCTTTACAACTTTTAATATTCAATTACAATATCAATATTTTATTTGCTATTTTTCATATATTATATTTATTATTTATAATAGCTTAACGATTCAAAAAGTATTGTGAATATTGTCAATTGTGTTCCCTTATATAAGATAGATTAAATGCAATATGAAGTATAATGTTGTAAATAGAATGCAATAAATTTACAAAATACCGTAAAAATTAGTAAAATATCAAAACCCTATGATAATCATCCAAATATAATAAGATAATTTTGCATTAAAAATACTATTTATTTCACACAATTCAAAACAATTTAAAATTGTTCATTTTATTAATATATATATATATATATAATATTGATATTATTCATAGTTAATATCTCGTATAACCTATATTATAATAACTAATAAAATACATCATAAAAACTATTGATATTCGTCTCTAATACTATTAAGTTTGCAGTAAAATTTTATAATTAAAATATGTAAAAAATAATATATAAAAATATATACTTGCATTTTCATTTATATAGCAATGAAAAATATTGCAAACTAATATGTCGATTAAAGAACAATATTATAAACGATAAATATATCAATATTAATTAATTATTAATAGTAGCCCTTAGATCGAATATTTATATGTTGGAAACATATTATTCGGAATAATTATTACGAAATAAAGAAAAAACATTTTATAATTTTTAAATTGGTGTTATATAAATTTAAGTAAATCTTGAAAATATACTTTATAATGTCAAATACTTCAACTTATTTTTATATAATTAAAATCTATTTCTTCCGTAACTAGTTTTATACCCACTATATTATTTTAATCAATGACAATTGAATACTTTTCTATATCAAAAAAAAGTTAATGAAAAAAAATAGATAAAAAATATGAAATAACGCCCTAAAGTATTTCAAACGTAACAGAGTTTATTTTATCGACAATCTATAGGAGGAATGACAGATGGATTAATTTAAGTAAAAAAAGAAGGCAGATTTTGCTCGAGTTTCATTCCTTGAGTGTCAGAGATTTACAAAGGATTTCCAAGTTTCTTTAAACTGATATACAGTAAGATCGATTATTCGGCCTACTTAATTTTCAACTGAAAATTAACTAATTAATGATCTCGAATTATCAAAATACATAGGAGTAAAATTATGGAACTGTCAATTTTTAATTATCGACCGAAAAATAATTCTTAAAAAAATTTAACTGCGAGGATTTACATGCTATATTTAAATTATAACATTTATGTTTTGCCTAAGCTTATTAAGAAAATTGCTTTTTACAAAAGAATATCATACAATATTTTGTAAGATATATTTTGCAAATAAATATACATTGATCGGAAATATTATTATTATTATTATTATTATTATTATTATTATTATTATTACTTACCTTTATTGCATTAGACACATAAGCTATTCGAACAGTAATGCTTTTCAGATATTTTTATTTTTTTTATTATTGCTATTTATTAAGAATATTTTTACAAATGATAATAAGATAAGATCATTTTTAAGCCTCGATAATATTAACTACATAAAGAATCTATTGTTGTAACGACAGGACAAAATATTTATATTTAATTATATTATTAATATATATTTCATGCTTTCGATATGTTATGCAGTATTCAATATATTATAACAATATTAATATGCAGACGTATTCTAAATATTATTTATTCCTTATTTTAAAATAAAGAAAAATACTTTGAAAAATCGATACTTCGTAGTTCTCGTTAAAAAAAAACATAAAAGTAAGGGACATCGTTTATTATTCCGTTCATAAATTAATGAACATAGAAATAAATGCAAAATCGCATTAAATATATATTTCAACGATATATATTATAGATTTATGTGTATTAAGGATATAGTATAGTTTTATTAAATTTATAAAATTAAATGATATTTCAATTTCGTTACACACACCTTATTGCAGCGCAATTTATTCTTAATAAATCAATACCATTTATTAAATATGTATATATATATATATATATTATATAAATTATTTTTCCTTCGATATATCAATTGAACAATTAAATTTACAAATTTTTATTTGTAATTGTCAAATAAATAATGTAAGCATAAATATTAGTATAAAAATATACTATGCATTATATTAGAAAAAAACAATATCAATGATATTTATATTAATTTTTAATTCACCAATGAAAATTTTAATATTTATAAAATTTACTGATTTTAAATTTAACATTTTATACAATAATGTTCTCATATGAATACTTAATTAAATTTCAAAACACGTTTAATATCTTATTATTTCAAATGAATTCTACAATGCTTTAAATGTTGTTTGTCATTACTATTATTTGCTATAAACAAATTCATATATGTATATATAGAAAATATTAAAAAAATTTTTATTTATTTTAAGCTTTGCTTTTTAAAGTTATATTTAGATTTTATAATTCTTATGGTAATTCTTTTATATTACTTTATTAAACCTAAGATTTTTTTTCCACTAAAATTCTTATATTTTAGCCAATAAAATTAATTAATTCTTTATAAATACTTTTTATTTAGTTACATACAAAATCTATATATATATATATATATATATTTATAATATATAATATATAATATATAAATTACTTTAATTTTTAGAAATTGCTCGATATAATATTCCTATCAGCTTCATTACAATACAGATTTCTATATTTTTATAAAATTAATTTTCTGTAATTATTCTTTCGAGATTCTTAACTGAACAAAGCTAATAACAAAGTTGATTAAAAAAGTCTATTAAAGTAATTTATTCATTCTACGAGTAGCTCGGGATTTCAATTCTTACATAATATGAAATTAAATAAAACGATATACATCGTTTATGTAAGTATTAATAAATAATTTTCCAAATTTTTTAGTTTAATAAACCATCTTTGCTTATTTCATCTAAATTCATAATTAATATCAATGATCTTCAAACAAGAAAAAAAAAATTTTAGAAACTAACATTATATTAATAATTTTATAATAATTATATTATTAAATCATCTAGTCTTTAAAAATTTACTTAAAAATTTTAGATTTTAAAAATACTTATAATAAATTTTATGTTAGAAGAGAATATTTAAAAAAATATTATATGCATTTTTTCAGATTTTAAACTACATCTGTAATATATTATTTCAGAAACGAAGGGCTCTTAAAAAAAAAAAAAAATAAGTTCCATAAAATAGACTTAAATAATTTCAAGGCATTAAACCACCATGTACGTGATAAATTGTTTAATACAACAATTTATTAATAGTTTTGAACTTTTAAGTTAAGAATATAGATATAATTAAAATTGTAATTGATGCTTATTAATATAGATATATGTATAGAGAGTCGATAAAATAACAAATATTTATATTGATAATGATAAAATGAAAGAAAAAATAATATTTCTACAGTAATAAAAAGTCTAAATACTTCAAAGAAATAAATAATAGATCTCAAGTATTTGATAGAAATGATATCTCAGCGATAATTATAATAATTATCACATTCTTTGATAATTGATAATATTAATAGTGTTTTCATTTCATATTTTTTTTCGATTATTTTTCATGCATTTTAAAGAAAAAATTTTTCTCTCATTCTTTTATCAATTTTTCAATATAAAACCTAATTTATAGAATTTTCATAACTATATTAGACTTCAAAAACTTCTATTTCCCTTTCATGAACAGATCTTCGTATTTCACTGATAGGCTCTAGGTTTAGCCTATATCCATAGTTTCCAATTATCAATGAAAGCTCAAACTTTTATTTTAGCTGTTTCTGGTAACAACTCGCATACCTTTTTCAATATTAAACTCTTTCTGCAGATAATATTATTTCACAATAATATACATTTTTTTATATATATCCTAGTAATTCATCCATAATAATGAGTTTTCTGACAATACACGTGTTTTAGATTTGTTTTACTTTTAAAGAAATAAAAAATGTCATTTATATTTCTAATATTAAATATTAATATAATGTCATTATACTCCGGTTACTGTCTGATTCAAACCTGTAATCTTAATTACTTTTTAAAATTATGAAAAAATACATTGAAAATATGAAATATGAAACACATATTTAAAAGAAATATTTAACATTTATATTCAAATCAAGCTGTGAAATATTCTAGACAATGGCGTTTTCCTTTTAGTTCGTTTTTAGTTAAACAGGTTATAATGACAAATAAGCCCGGATGTACTTTTTATTAATATTATTGTAAAATAAATTCCACTTTTAAAGGTAAATTGTTCATGTGAACTTTAAAAACGTAAAAAGAAATTTGAGAGATATTTTATCAAAATTATGTTTAATATTTTTTAAAGAAATGAAAAATCATTTTATATAATAATTTACAGCCAAAGATAATTTGTGAAATTTAATTTAATTAATATTATATACAGTATATTAATTATTAACAAATTTAAATAATTATAGTTTTTACGTTATCCATTACATTGAATTATAGTC